GTTTGTTTTCCGGATTTAGGTCTATAATTGCAGAAAGTGCAATTAGCGTCCTGTTTGCAAAGCAAGTCCAATTTAGTGTCGAACTGAAAATAAGACAAACACATGTTATTTGTGAAACTGCATGTGGATTGAAGTTAAACCCAGTCAAACTCCTATTTTGAGAACAAACACAAACAACAAATGAGTTTTAACATCTAGTTTAGGGCAACAATGTTCATTGAGTTATGCCCCTATTTAATGATAATTGAATATATTCATACACTTCCAACGAGAAGCTCTTTCTGGACTCATGGAGCGGATCGCCTCAATGACCGAAGGCGTTCCCGCAACTCGTGTTCATCCCTGACCCGTGCAGGTCCGAGCACGCCATGGCGCGTGCTCGGCAGGTCCGTGAAGGCTTGCGAAGCCGGGGGCAAACTGCTGTGGTGTGGTGGGTCCTTTGACCCTGGCAGTATGTCAACTGGCTGAAATGGACATAAATACTATATATACATATATATATATATATATATTCTGGCGTGTCTGGTTTTGGGGGAACCCCCCAAAATGGTGGTCCTCCTTCCGGTTTTGCTTTGAAGCCACAAAAAAGGGCTACCCTCCAATCAAAGGACCCCCCATTTGTACAGGCCCCTGTTACCCCCAAGCAAAAGGGCCCCAATGCAGGCCAGGGCACGCAGCAGGAGCCACTCGATCTGCGGCAAATTGCCCGCTGCCGCAGCGATACTGGGCGCAACCAGTCATCCAGAGAGGTTAGAATACGGGTGCCAACTTTGTTCCGTAGTCTATTTTACTAGGGGAACCCTCCCGACCAAAAAAGAAACGGTAAAAGTTGGCACCTAGCTGGGAGATCTAGTCAAAATAGCAATTGCCCCCCAACTAACATGACCTGATCAATGTCCATCCTCCACTGCTTGTGGTGGGGGGGCTGTACATCAGCATGTCGGCCCCCTACAAATGTGGTTTCCCTTGAAATACCAACCAAAATGGTCTGCTATTTTGCGAAACACCTCAATGGTTGGTTCCCATCCCTTACTGAACGTCACTTTACATAGACAGGGCTTGTCCGCCACTCACGGGAAATCGAGAAACACACAACGGAGTCGCTGGACTTCCCCAACTCAAGAGTTGATCAATCTACTCGTCGTCCATTGAAACGAGCCGTTTCCACTTTTCTAAGGGTAATTACCTTCCTCATTCTTTCCAGGGATCCTTCTTTCTACAAAACCTCCGGAAACCCAGGGAAAACGGCCAGTATTTGGAAAGAACGAAGGTTGAAAAGAATGGAAAAGGAATCAACCCCTAGAACTTTTGGAGGATCCCCGAAGGATCTTTCAACATGCAACGCGCTGCATCCAATGCCGCACATCCGTTGGGATCGAAAGATGGCTTTCGGCTCCTGAAGCCTGCTAAAGCAACTGGGAAAAGCCGTTGGTGCCTAAACTGACACTAAAGCCATGGCAAATGTTGGATCAAATTTCGCCAGTGGTTCATGAATCCTTGCCTTATATATATAATATTGTGCATGTGTATGTGCATTATATATGTGTATGCATATATATATATATATAATAATAATAATAATAATACATGTAAAAATACATACATGTTTCTTCTTAATTAGGGAACCTCTTCTGGCTGTTTTCCAAGGTGATAGTCCCCTGTTTTAACCATCATTCCCCACCTGCAACGGGGGCATGCGTCATGTGTGGCCCATTTCACCCGGGCAACCCAGCTGCAGTTTTGACCATGGGTAACTTTTCCCAGGTCGTTTTAGTGGTTTTCCCCAATGGTCATCCTATGCAAAGGACCTTTCTCAACCCGCATGTGTGGTGGGAGCTGTCTTTTCTTCAGACCCGCGCCTTCCATATATTGTGGAAGTGCGGATAACTCATTCTAACAATCCTTCTGGTGGGGCTTTGGGGCAGCTTCCCATAGAACTTCCATGTTTGGCCGGTGTCTCTGATTTTGGGAGACCATTTTCAAACAGAACCCGACAATTTGGATTTGTAGGGCCCCAAAGGGATAACCCACTTCGAGAAGTTGGATCCCAACAACTCTCCCAACAACTCTCAGTTTTCATACGGATTTCTTTTGGTTTCTACTCAAAACCGTTTCTTCCAAAGGTTCGTCTCTGGGGGTCACACCGAAGCCCAGGCAACTCTGCACAAAACATGTCATTCAGGGTGAGGCACCTTGGGCTTTCCCTACGATGTTCTCAGATAACGAACACGCCCCAAATCCTTGTTTCCCCCTCCCTCATTTGGTCGTTTGCCCGGAACCATCCAAGGGCTTCCCGGATTCTTCGCACCCAAACGTCTCAAACAAGTATATGAGTCGTGGCTTTTCGGAATGGGTGTCCCCAAATCAAAGACTTGGAATTAGTGAGTCGCTCCTGTGCTCAGCTGCCCAAAAAGGAACCAGAAATAAAAGGTTGCACTTTTAGGCCCTTCACCCAAAAATTGCCCAAAAATTGAAAAAGGTCGGTTAAAAGGTCAAAATT